GGGGATGGACCTGAAAGCAACAGCAACCACAATTTTTAGCAACAACACTGAGAACACCTTGAAACAGTTCTTTAGATGGGGAAAAATAAAATAAAAAGAAAGAATGAATGAAAAAAATCAATATACTTTACAGAGAGTCTTTATACAAGTACTGAAATTTAAAAGGCCGTTACTATTACTTAAGATATGGTAAAACTTCATTAGCGGGAACACAATTTATCAACCCTGAGAACTCTCTGTTCATCACTATTAGTACATCTAGCTCAGCACACAGCACCGGGGGAGACAGAGGCTTTAGGGATGTGACATTGATCTGATGGCCATCGACAAACAGAACTGAGCTGGTCTGAAAGCCTAGACAGGAAAGAATCGCTTGCATTGTTTTCCACATTCTTATTTTCTTCAGTAAAGCTGTAGATTACCAGTAACTTATGCCAGACAGTTACCTTCCCAAGAAACTGTAAACAAAAACACTCGTGTGTCTATGTACACATGCATAAACACAACCAGAATGAATATAAAGAGAGAAACAACTGTTTCTCTGACCACTGTTGTGGTACCTGGGTGAAGCGGGCAGTTGGTGTCTTAGCTTCTTCTGTGCTCACAACAGGAACACACTTACATAAAGGAATGCATGACTGCATAATACATTTAGGCTGGATGCAAAAGCAGCTACTCTGACCCTGCCAGTTCAGAGGCAAGACCTAGAACAGCCTCCCCAAGGAAGACTTTACAAACAAAACAACTCTCCTCTGGGTAGGTGCCATAGTCTGGGATCATGGCTCAAGGGAGAGGCTATAGCATGTGTCCTCTCTCACAACCCTTCGTCTTTTTTTTTTTTTTTTTCTATGACTTCCGTGCCATCTATCAGGTCTCCAGAAAAGAACTTCACTAAAAATGTAAGGTTGTGTCTTCAGATAAGAAAAAGGGGGCATAACATAAATATTTATCATGGAGGAATAATGCCGAAGATTCGACTACATTTCATATCATGTAAAAAAAAAAAGGTACAGTGGTGTTTGGGTCCAAGAAAATACCCAGACTTGTTTTCCTTACACTATTCATGTTACTACCAATTGGAAACAGAGACTTGAGGGATTACAGCTGAGCAATGTGATACACTGGTCTAATGGGCTCCTGTGTATCTTAATGATCCCAAACCATAATTTCCCAGGGGATCCACACACTGTAATCCTGATCAATTCCCCATGTGCTTGGGCTAAAGATGATTCTGGACCCACTGCTATATACTATGTATAGGAGTACAGTTACTTTACGCACTGAAGAGTAAAATCCTTATCAGCTCTAGGCTGAAGTACATTTTTTAAAATGCTGATTGCTTAGAAGTAGGACGTATGCTAACATGATCACTGGAGTGTCATTGAAAACTATTTAAATCTGATTTCATCGCGTAAAAATGAAGTGATAATGGTATACCTATTTCAGAGACAGTGTCTGTCATGGGAATACATAGAATTGGGCTTAGAGGGCCGGGGCTCTAGTCCTTATTGTCCACAGGATGTTGAAGAAGTGATTGCTTCTGATTAGGTCTGTTTCCTCATCTGTAAACCAAGGCACTGCACAAAACTGAGCTTTTGTTCAAAAGACTGTATCTCTCACTAGCTTCATGGGATGACTTTTCAAGTACCACCTTGTTCCCTCCCTGAAGCTTAATGGCCACCAAAACTACCAGCCTCTTTGGTCACATCTTTTCCCGGTAGCTTTCACAGATTATCCATATTTGTGCCCCAAATGCTGAGACTTTTGTAAAAAGAAAAGCCACTTTTGGAAAAGGCTGGTCACATCTCAGACTGATCCAGGGCTTCCACATCAAATAACTAACAGGCAAGACAGGTGATGTAAAAGTGTGACTGAATTGGGATACTGCACAGGAAGTAGTGAGTCCTGTGGCAAAATGAATACTGCAAGTCTCCACCCTAAAGGCCTTCAGATTAAACCACTTTTATTAAGGGTGACGGCTAAACAATTCGTGTAACTAAAGTCAATTGAGCCCATTACCAAAGCTAGTTGACAATCTCAAGATTAAACGCTCACTAAGCCTCCTTGAAATTGGGGAATTTGGGAGTTACAAATAACATTGATTTTGAGAAAGCTTGAACCCAAATATACA